TGATCATTTCCCGTCTTGTCATTGAGACTGTACCAGACGATGTTAACAGGTCCCACACGTATTGATCATTTCCCGTCTTGTCATTGAGACTGTACCAGACGATGTTAACAGGTCCCACACGTATTGATCATTTCCCGTCTTGTCATTGAGACTGTACCAGACGATGTTAACAGGTCCCACACGTATTGATCATTTCCCGTCTTGTCATTGAGACTGTACCAGACGATGTTAACAGGTCCCACACGTATTGATCATTTCCCGTCTTGTCATTGAGACTGTACCAGACGATGTTAACAGGTCCCACACGTATTGATCATTTCCCGTCTTGTCATTGAGACTGTACCAGACGATGTTAACAGGTCCCACACGTATTGATCATTTCCCGTCTTGTCATTGAGACTGTACCAGACGATGTTAACAGGTCCCACACGTATTGATCATTTCCCGTCTTGTCATTGAGACTGTACCAGACGATGTTAACAGGTCCCACACGTATTGATCATTTCCCGTCTTGTCATTGAGACTGTACCAGACGATGTTAACAGGTCCCACACGTATTGATCATTTCCCGTCTTGTCATTGAGACTGTACCAGACGATGTTAACAGGTCCCACACGTATTGATCATTTCCCGTCTTGTCATTGAGACTGTACCAGACGATGTTAACAGGTCCCACACGTATTGATCATTTCCCGTCTTGTCATTGAGACTGTACCAGACGATGTTAACAGGTCCCACACGTATTGATCATTTCCCGTCTTGTCATTGAGACTGTACCAGACGATGTTAACAGGTCCCACACGTATTGATCATTTCCCGTCTTGTCATTGAGACTGTACCAGACGATGTTAACAGGTCCCACACGTATTGATCATTTCCCGTCTTGTCATTGAGACTGTACCAGACGATGTTAACAGGTCCCACACGTATTGATCATTTCCCGTCTTGTCATTGAGACTGTACCAGACGATGTTAACAGGTCCCACACGTATTGATCATTTCCCGTCTTGTCATTGAGACTGTACCAGACGATGTTAACAGGTCCCACACGTATTGATCATTTCCCGTCTTGTCATTGAGACTGTACCAGACGATGTTAACAGGTCCCACACGTATTGATCATTTCCCGTCTTGTCATTGAGACTGTACCAGACGATGTTAACAGGTCCCACACGTATTGATCATTTCCCGTCTTGTCATTGAGACTGTACCAGACGATGTTAACAGGTCCCACACGTATTGATCATTTCCCGTCTTGTCATTGAGACTGTACCAGACGATGTTAACAGGTCCCACACGTATTGATCATTTCCCGTCTTGTCATTGAGACTGTACCAGACGATGTTAACAGGTCCCACACGTATTGATCATTTCCCGTCTTGTCATTGAGACTGTACCAGACGATGTTAACAGGTCCCACACGTATTGATCATTTCCCGTCTTGTCATTGAGACTGTACCAGACGATGTTAACAGGTCCCACACGTATTGATCATTTCCCGTCTTGTCATTGAGACTGTACCAGACGATGTTAACAGGTCCCACACGTATTGATCATTTCCCGTCTTGTCATTGAGACTGTACCAGACGATGTTAACAGGTCCCACACGTATTGATCATTTCCCGTCTTGTCATTGAGACTGTACCAGACGATGTTAACAGGTCCCACACGTATTGATCATTTCCCGTCTTGTCATTGAGACTGTACCAGACGATGTTAACAGGTCCCACACGTATTGATCATTTCCCGTCTTGTCATTGAGACTGTACCAGACGATGTTAACAGGTCCCACACGTATTGATCATTTCCCGTCTTGTCATTGAGACTGTACCAGACGATGTTAACAGGTCCCACACGTATTGATCATTTCCCGTCTTGTCATTGAGACTGTACCAGACGATGTTAACAGGTCCCACACGTATTGATCATTTCCCGTCTTGTCATTGAGACTGTACCAGACGATGTTAACAGGTCCCACACGTATTGATCATTTCCCGTCTTGTCATTGAGACTGTACCAGACGATGTTAACAGGTCCCACACGTATTGATCATTTCCCGTCTTGTCATTGAGACTGTACCAGACGATGTTAACAGGTCCCACACGTATTGATCATTTCCCGTCTTGTCATTGAGACTGTACCAGACGATGTTAACAGGTCCCACACGTATTGATCATTTCCCGTCTTGTCATTGAGACTGTACCAGACGATGTTAACAGGTCCCACACGTATTGATCATTTCCCGTCTTGTCATTGAGACTGTACCAGACGATGTTAACAGGTCCCACACGTATTGATCATTTCCCGTCTTGTCATTGAGACTGTACCAGACGATGTTAACAGGTCCCACACGTATTGATCATTTCCCGTCTTGTCATTGAGACTGTACCAGACGATGTTAACAGGTCCCACACGTATTGATCATTTCCCGTCTTGTCATTGAGACTGTACCAGACGATGTTAACAGGTCCCACACGTATTGATCATTTCCCGTCTTGTCATTGAGACTGTACCAGACGATGTTAACAGGTCCCACACGTATTGATCATTTCCCGTCTTGTCATTGAGACTGTACCAGACGATGTTAACAGGTCCCACACGTATTGATCATTTCCCGTCTTGTCATTGAGACTGTACCAGACGATGTTAACAGGTCCCACACGTATTGATCATTTCCCGTCTTGTCATTGAGACTGTACCAGACGATGTTAACAGGTCCCACACGTATTGATCATTTCCCGTCTTGTCATTGAGACTGTACCAGACGATGTTAACAGGTCCCACACGTATTGATCATTTCCCGTCTTGTCATTGAGACTGTACCAGACGATGTTAACAGGTCCCACACGTATTGATCATTTCCCGTCTTGTCATTGAGACTGTACCAGACGATGTTAACAGGTCCCACACGTATTGATCATTTCCCGTCTTGTCATTGAGACTGTACCAGACGATGTTAACAGGTCCCACACGTATTGATCATTTCCCGTCTTGTCATTGAGACTGTACCAGACGATGTTAACAGGTCCCACACGTATTGATCATTTCCCGTCTTGTCATTGAGACTGTACCAGACGATGTTAACAGGTCCCACACGTATTGATCATTTCCCGTCTTGTCATTGAGACTGTACCAGACGATGTTAACAGGTCCCACACGTATTGATCATTTCCCTTTGAGTTCACACTGCAAGAGAGTCTGCCGCGTTTAGATTGTTCACATTAATGATACAATAATGTCAACTAACCACTGATAGGATGAATTGACGTTGTTGCCGTAATAGCTAGCTAAATCACTTGTCCTGTACACTAGCCTCTTGGCGAAGCGACTGTCCACGCCAATTCTTGAAGATTCTAGATACTTTGATAGATAAGATTTAATTTGAATTATCTCTCTATAACTACTGAGAAATCGTTCAAATGTTGTACGTCATCTTTGGCGTCGCACACAGTTTATATTAGTCTTAGAAAAAGGATGTTTTTGGAAGAAAGTGCCTTTTTAGATTCTTCGATCCCTGTTCTGAGCGACCCGTCATTGGTTATGTCTGTGAATTCCTTTTGTTTATAATATTTACGTTTCTCTGATTTTATCTGGTCGGATGATCTTTACATGTTGTGTTAGCTGTGCAGTGAAGATGGTTTCTTTTTATTTTGAGATAATTAATGATAATGTGAAGGAGGTGATTGGTCCTTACACTTAACTTAATAAACGTGTTAAATTTCTGGCTTTGTTACCACTGACAATTCATTATTGCACACTTTTGCTTAATAATAACAATATACCAAACTCCGTGTTTTATTCGGCACACTGTCAAAATGCATTTAAGAAGTGAGGTTATTTTAACGAAGTTATCTCCCCTTGCTCTTATATTTTGTATTTGCGCCCTCTCATCTAATCTATAGCACGGACTAATCTAATTCCGTGGCTATAGTAAGGTCGAAGACACTGTCCATAATTATTGTTGACCACAGACATCTCTACTGAGGGTCCTATATTCTCACTTCTATCATCATGTATACACTCCCAGCTCCAGGAGAATGTGTATTTGTATTCATCTTTTAATCATCGCCTCCATAAAACGTTTGTGATCGGTTACCTTACGCCAAAATAATGTCATCATTGATTTTTTTTTATTCAAACATCCAACGAGTAAAGGTAATTGTTTAAAATCTGTAATACTTTCTGCAAGTCAAAGAAATAAAAATGTTTGAGATATATCTTTTATAATTTTTGGTTTGATAATTCAGTGTCAACCTTAATTGAAGACAGTATCAGCGTGTCCTACACGTTGAGCGACTTTTTCTCGATCCGACAGAAAACAACATGACGGGAACCATATATAAGGTACAGGAAACGTTGACAGTCTCCGACTCTATTGTTTTGATGTCTCACCAGTTATGATTATTGACTTCTCATGTTTTCTTTCCGTGTTAGGTTTCGATATGGCGGTTTGGTGCTGTGGTATTAGTTTACCTGTGCTGGTTCATACTAGACTGGTTGTATTTCACTGCATGTTGCATGTAAGAAGGTAACGATGTGAGGGTCTCTGCAGAATTGAATTTTTAGTGTAATCTGTTCAAAAGACATTGAAATATAATTATCGCTGCCCCCATTGCGACATTTGGGACTGTTATCCTATATTTTATCTTCTAGCTGCCCATTTCTGTTTCGACGTTATCTTCCTAAGTACTAGGCTCTGTATGACTTTAGGTGTTGTGAGGACGTTACACTCTGAATAAACCAAAAACATATCACTTTGATTTTTTGCATCACTTTTCATTGCGTTTTAAAGCTTTTGGTTTCCATCAAACATGTTAAATCAATCCACTTTCTCTGATGATTTGTTAACATGCCAATTTGTAAAGTTCTACTCCAAATAGCATTATAAAGTTCAAGAACCCCATTTAAGTGGACGTTTGGTATATTTACGTAAGACGTATTAACCACAGCTTTACTCCCGGCGATTTCAATACATCCCGGTCTATACACTAGTTAACACGCTGTCGATTAATTACCAGACGCAGGTAGATTAGCCCGAGTAGATTTAAACAGCGTGGATTAACTTTACCCGTCCCAGACGTTCTATGGCTGTGTACACAGGTAAGTTCCGAGTGCCTGGAAGGCACAATATACCGGTACTAGTTACTCTGTAAAGGTAAGTACGTAATATGGTATACATGTTTGTACACATATATCACAGTACACTTACGTATAGAGATAACACTGATTTCTTAATTGTGTTTGCTTGTAAAACATCCAGGTCAAATTATATATTTAAATAAATACGATATTTCGATAGATATACATAATTATAGATATATGATTAAAATCAAACATGAATGTTAATTGAATTTTGTGTTTTAACAGTAAGTATTAGAAAGCATAGCAACAAGTATACACACGAGTGTACGTATGTGTATACATGTTCTTCAAGGTATATATATATATACTGTGTGTTTTACAGACATAACAGTGGAAATAGGATCCAGTAAATGGCACGGATCATCGGGCAGAGCTTTGTGTGTACTTTAACGTAACGTATCCACTAGAAATGTGATTCCCTGGCTCTGATTGAAAACATTGTCGTGTCAACACCGAACGTGTGGAGGTTTTACTGTTGACAGAGGGTACGTTATCATGTGTAGGTGTGTACTGGAGGTACCACGCTCAGCGCTAATTAAGGTTAGTTCAAACTATACGTAAACATTGTAATATTTCTAGTACGATATTGTATAACTACATGATAGTACCACATAAACACTATTCTGATGTATTATCTACTAATCCATGACAACATACCTCTATGAGTATGATCTACAAATATAGTAACTGTAAGGTCTGCTCAATGTCTGAAGGTTGGTTTGTTGTTACTATGACTACACGATATCAGGGATATATTCATATGATGTAATTATAAACAATACTAATACATCACAACGTTTATAATCTATGTTAATGCATGGAACATACTAAAATTATAATCACCGTCGATACACCATCATTTACACTGATCTTACTTATCTGTTTTGACTGTATAGTTTTAGTAGTAAGTATTATTGTATTAGTTCTTTATAACTTTCTATTATGACTGTGTGCTAATACAATGTGTATTCTAACTTTATGTCCAGTAAGATGCATATTGCTGTATTAGTTGTTTAGAAGTTTAAGAGCTACATATTAAATGAGTTTGAGATCATGATGAGTGCTGCATTTGGTACAGAAAATGAAATTACATAATTATTTAGATTTTTTTTGTTGATGTTCCCTCTGTTTCTGTTTTGTCCTTTTATGTTGATACCGTGGTACCTTCGCAAGTTATACAGCAGACTACTAATAACCATTTCTTCCTCTTCTTCTTCTTCTTCTTCTTCTTCTTCTTCTTCTTCTAATAATCTACATACCACCTCTGGTGTATTGTCGCATTTGTTTCGGACTATAAAGCAAATCCTGTTTACAAGTAGAACTCTTCAAAATACTGTAATAAGAAAGTTCTATATTACAAACATAGGCTCTTTGGAAATAGATGATCTTAAATTTTACTCCCACAGAGTACCCAAACGGACATCTCATTGTAAATCCAGATGTTTTTTTTAAATGTGACCCCTTTTTAAGCCTATTTTCTTATCTTTATGTTTAAAGATAATTTATTCGGATATGAAATATTTTCTTACCCCTTTCATTGTTGCTTTTTACATGTGTTTCTGTGCCAAATATTAACGTACAACTCTACTAGATACTTATAATATATCGACAGGCTGAACATAAGGTTATTTCTTCGATTTCGATTTCTGAATGGCCATATGTTTTATACTTTATAACAAAACATTAGTAAAGTGTTGTATCGGGAGATCATAATAATAGTCCCATGATTTATAGAATAAAAAATATTATGAATTAAAGCGCTTGATTTATTATATATTTTTTGTTGGTGATGTAACAAGGAAAGTCATTGGTAGATGAAGCAGGGTTCGATAGATGAAATAGTTATACCCAGATCGTTATAAACAACATAATCGTATATACCTCTTACATATTATACACCAGCTATCTTCAACCTTGACCAGTTAACAGCACGCGAGGTAATCGGACATCGGTGCTTAATTAATTAATTTTAAACATACAATGGCGATCAGACATTGTCCAACATCTAACAAATATCAAACGGTATTAAATTTGTACAGCACTGTTATTTCCAGACATAAACATAAGAGCAATAAACCAGTTCGCTGATTTTAAGACATAGTAGACTTGTTTTGTGAAATCTAAATGAAGGGAACCTATAATTTGAACTAACCTTTTCAAAAATCACCACGGAAACAACCGGAAATTGTCGAAAATACCGGATATGTTATTGATTACGAAATGTGTACAATAACCTTTTTCTTAATCCTTTAATCTTATTACTTTTCGCTTTTTTGTTAAAACCTTTGTCAGCATTATGATATCAAACATCCACACAAGCTACTAACTAGCTAGCGACCAGATTATTGAGTCCATTGTTCTGGTAATATATCACTTCGGGTGTAAAAGTAGACGATAATCCATATACACACTGTACTGATTGTGGAGACAAACACAGAACCTATTGTCACAGTTAATTTTCCAATAGAAAATAATTACTAATTAAAACCTTGTTTACACAATGTTTTAGCCAAACCGACAGAATGTCACGTATAGGTTAAACATCTAACATGTATTGATGTTACTCTCGTCGCAGGAGGCTGACATTCTGTCAACAACTAATACTGACAGTAATACCAAGAACCGATGATAGTGCTTAAAAATAGAGTCTGCTATTCTTAATTTTTGATAGAATTTCAGACTACTGTGACGTCTCGTTGACGTACCTTGTGTGCTATAAAATATAACACATAAACAGACTGCAAGGATTCCATCTAACACAATCGTGATTAATCATGTCCCTCTTCGAGGTGACAGTTCCGCCGAAATGAACAATTAAATGTACACACAAACATGTAACATCAATCTCATATCTATCAACGAATAAACATTTGTTTTGTGTTATTCGAGAGGATTGTTGATCACGAATTCAAACACATGAAATAGGAATAAGAAATATATGTCATTTCGAGAGTTCGTATCCTTTCGACCTAGTCTTAGGGATTTCACGGAAAAGAAATATTCGCAGAAATTAGGAGATTTCAAGTATCACACGCATGTTAAGGTAGTGACGTAGCATGTTGAGAATGAAGCGTGGGTAAAATCAGTAATACTGCACTCATTCCTTTTTCTAAATAAATACTCCTGCTTATTAACACTAAATGCTCAAGTAGCAGACTACTTGATCAAACACTTTTCACTTACTCGAGATCACGTTTGAAGTAGTCTCTCGTTGTTTACCGATCGTGTTTCGGTTACCGAGACTTGGACATTTACATTGGAAACGTGATAGCTTATACTGAAAGGGAACGCCTGCCTACGGGGCATACCTATTCTGGTAAATGACTGTTAGTCGTGGGTATTTTTACCTGCGAATTATGTTTTGTTTTATTTGATAGTATGGTCCAACTCTCCAGTCAGCCTTGACATTAATATCAAACTTCTCTTGAAATCTTGAAAAATGGTCAAAATACAGAAATAAAAGAGATATTTGTAGTAAGGGATTTTTCGAAGAAAATCATCCCAAAATTTATAATAATAAAGAAGTTTTTAAATATGCAATGTGTGAAAAATGCTTACGTTATCATTAAACACCTGTAATACCATTACAAGCTAAGTGTATCAAACCGTTAGCTAAAAAACAGTTGATGTTGAAATAGGGCCCATTGTAGCAGGTCTCGGTACAGGTAACCGTTTTGGACAGAATTTGAGGCTATTAACAGTGAACATAATTTACTATGGACATAAAAATGAGAAAAGGATGAAGTATTGAAATTACACATCTGACTTTTTTTGGCTCATGAAGCGTCAAAGTCATGAATAACCGTTAACATCAGAAAAACGTTTTAAAGATATTTTTCAATCATTTATGCCTATACCCATTGCCCAAACTTAATCATCTAGATGCTATTGAGTGAATGCTACCTCCTTGTCATGTATCATTTGTCGTGATGGTGTGTCTGGCTGCCATAACGCTGTCTCGGATTGTCAGGTATCATCTGTCGTGATGGTGTGTCGGGCTGCCATACCGATGTCTCGGATTGGCATGTATCATTTGTCGGGATGGTGTGTCTGGCTGAAAAAACGATGTCTCGGATTTTCATGTATCATTTGTGGTGATGGTGTGTCTGGCTGCCATAACGATGTCTCGGATTGTCATGTATCATGTGTCGAGATGGTGTGTCTGGCTGCCATAACGATGTCTCGGATTGTCATGTATCATTTGTCGTGATGGTGTGTCTGCCTGCCATAACGATGTCTCGGATTGGTGGTAGTCAATTTCCGATAGGATTCCGTGTTATTTTCCTTCTTTTTTTTTATCAAATTCCTGACTTCGTCTTTTGTTCCATTTTGATGAAATGAGGCACAGAAGCTGCCATTGTGATATCATAGAATTATTAATTACATTTGTTATTGTGTTATTGATCATATATAGTGATACAGATATGTGTTATATATCCGTGCTCTATCTATTTAATTACAATTCACTATAGAGGTTTTTTCTCTCGGATATAATTAATTACAATCAAACCTCCAAACACGACCGTGGACCGTAGTATGACAATGTTACACAAAGACCCGACAATGACGAGGGGTTATATGGCAATAAACTTTATCAAATATCATATTTGATACGTGAATGGCAGTTTCCAAAGCTTTATACGGGGCACAAAGGAGATACTTACAGGGTGTACACCTGTGTTGTAGCCATGTATAACTCATTCGTTATCGACCTTGATCGATCAGGATTTATAAATGTATCTGATAATACCGATCGGTTCTCCATTACGAATTAACCGCATGGATTCCTTTCCAATAAAACACCTAAATCGGTGAAATTTAATTACCATTCAAGCGGTATTTAATCCGGGAGAATCACATAGCCAGGGCGTGTTGACAGAATGACTTATATTAGGGGCTTGCTGCTAAAATCTCTACACTAACGTCCTTCTATTGTGCCTTCAGAGGTACTCGGCTAGTCGAAAAAATACTTTAAATATACAGTGTACACATTTGCATCCAGCTTTTAAATCTGGGTGTGGAATTTAACGTCTTCAATTGAACCGTGTTTAAAATGTAGAAACAGGTTTCAAATAAATCGGAACACTAAACCGCCCAGATGGTCTGCTGAGTTTTAAAGTTGAAACAGACTACAAAATATGTACATGAAACAACAAAGTTTATGTTTATTGAATATGGTGTGTTTTCCAAGTTGCATGCATTATCTAGAGGTTTATCAAATGGCCATTTATCTATCCATTTCCGTATCAGGGTCGGGATAGGGTATGTTTATGGCCATATGGTAACCTTTTTATCACATACTGTTCTATGAAACAAAGTTATAAGCAATTACATTTCGAGATGAGACTTTTCTGAAAATTGTTGAATCGGAAGTTTAACGAATATGGCGCGTGCCAGTCAGATACAGCGCGTGCTGGACAGATATGGCCCGTGTCGAGCGAATATGGGTTGCTTGTGATATGGTCTATGCACAGCTAGCAGTATTACACATGCAAAACAACTCGCCTCACGGACAAGTATATGATAATAATTAATTTTTTGCTAAGAAACACATATTTTTAATTAACTGGTTTTGAATTGGGAAATGTTTGCTTTGAAATTGATGAAACACTTTTGTTTTCTTTTTCAGAATCCATATTTTTAGTGACAGTCAGCCAGGATCTTGTTTGGTAGAGATGTGATTTGCAGCAAAATGCCGGGTAATGCAATAAGTCCGACGGATAGTCGGCCTAAAACTTGCCCCACCTACAATAGGTCAACCGCCCAATCAAGGGCTACCTCTTCCCGACCATACTCACGCGGGACGTCACATGGCGTTTCGCATGGAACGTCAAATGACGCCGAGGAGGAAAACGAAGAGTATCACGTAGAATTATTAGAGTATGAATGGCCAGATTTACCTCCCCTTCCTAGGTTAAAAGATGCCATTACGCGTCAGAAAGTCAGCAGAGGAATTAGTTATCTACTTCCGGTTGACAAGGGAAAGAACTCAATAAACAATCGTTACCGGACTGACCTGCGGGCGATGTTCCAGGAGCCCTATGCTAATGACGATTGCGGATATGACGATAACAAAGTTAAACTCAGTGCTCAAATTCATTTTGATACAAACACAGTAAGCACGAAATGGTCACAAAGGCATTTCGATTCCATCCCATTTCAACTCAATTCTGAGTCGGAAAAAGCAAGAAGAATGTATGTGCGCTCGGCTCCTGCACGAGCTGGGAGACAATCAGGGATGGACATGGACAAAATGCGCACGCGGTCTAGTTTGTTCCTTCCAATGAAAAAAGAGGAGCATCCGGAAGCGGCAAAACTCCGTGAAGAAGTCAAGGTCATTCTTCAAAGTGTTCAAACCGAGGCAGAATCTGACAGTGATTCTGTGGAAGGAGAAACCTATCAAAGACGAAAAAGTGATATATTAAGGCCACGAAGGGGTACAATAACGTACCGAAACAGTGTTGGGACAGCTGGGATGCTTCCCAAAAAACCGCGTGTGGTATTAACTGCAGAAAACTATAAAACTTACGAGGATTTGAAGAGAACTAAAACACCAAAAACAACAATTCCGGAGCCTTTTCAATCAAAATTTTTAAGTGTAGATGAAAATCAACACATTTGGGAATGGTTACACCATGGTGAAGAAATGTCGGATTTCCAATTTTTCCTTTCTGTATGTGGATAAAGATAGGTGGAAAGTATGTTTACCTCTGGTAAGACCAAAACTACAGTATAGTGCTGTCATTAGTCCACTGTACAGCAAACGGACTGAACCATGTGCTGCTCATTTCAAATTCCTTTGTATCCCCTAATCTAATCTTGCCAAAAAGAGTAAATGAAAGCTTTTCTATGTAGGGTATTAACAACCGAAACATAACACGCATGGGAAATGACAAAAATAGAAAAATAATTGTTTTCGTCAATAAGAAACAGTCGATATTGTCCGGTGGCTTACATGTGTTGGTCGCTGCTCTAGCCTAGACGACAAATATTCAAATCTTTCTGTAGATATAAAATTCTCCTCAGTATCGACTGTCAGTCTTTTCCCGCTACACTACACAAACTCTCATTGCTCGTTAAGGTATACGTTAGAGAGGTTCTGCTTTTTACTTGGTTTGAGTCAATGTAATGATTTTGACACAGACTACCTAGAGGACGTGATGGCTATCGGTTGTATTTCCTCCAGTGAACTACGAAGTACTCATCTAACGAGTTGAACAATAACTGAATGTCTGAAAGAAATAACAAATAATCTAGTTATCAAATTGCCAATACTCACACATGTTGATAAATTGCGAGAACGAATCGTCAGTGGCACATTATAGAGACTAATGCCTTATCAGTGCTATATGTCTTAACAGTGACTTTTACCCTTATGCTCCTTTAATTATGTCCTTATTTTCATAATTAGTGTTTATCTCTGATCGATCATTTTAATGTGAAAAATAAGTTTTTTATGTTATGCTAGAATGTTTTTTCATATACGTCATTAAACTATAATGCCATTTTATAATGTTACACTGGTATCACTGTAACTGAATGAAACACCCTCTATTAATAGATAAATAAGGAAAAGCTCAACTCAACTAATTTCATCGAATATTATGCATATTTGCATTTCTTTGTTTCATAATTTGTTGATATATACGATACATAATTTCCGTCAGTAAAATCTTGTAAATGTTCAGAACATACTGATTACTAATTCACCAGAATTACAATATGAGTATTCAAAATTCCTATTATTGTCATTATCAGAAATTTCTATCACCACTTATAACTATGATGTGCAAACTATCGATTTAAATTATATAGAAGTATAACATAATAAAATATAAATTTCGGGTTCTTTCAAATGATTGTATTTATGGCCTAATGAATCTGAAATGTTTCGATAACTAAGCACAGTGTACAACACGCCACATATGGTAGACATACAAATGGTCATGCGTCTCAAGGTTGCCTGGATGATAGCTTTGAAATTGCACAAACTGTTTCATTTACGCCTACCCTATGATATGCGCTATGATATCTGCTTACTATTAAAATCAATTGTTCACTCATGTATGACACTCTATTTATCATCTATAGCTATCAGTTTGACTTCGTGTTAAATTGTTCGCATTTCTTTCAGGCTACGGGATCTTGTCGGAACAATTTCTGTATGGAGGGCTTAACCGTCGACGAACTTGTGTTTACTGACCAAACACAGCGACAATGTCATATTTAAAGAGGAATCCGTTTACTAGATCGCTGAAAAGCTAAATTATAGATTTCCTTGCATATTTATTAACAAACAAGATTGTAAAAGATTCGTGCTTGTTTATTTCTAAAATAAGGTGACTTGGAAATGGCTGAAGAAAAATAATTGTGATAAAGATGACAACTATTTAAAAGTTACGTATACTATTAACTTTTATACCGTTGTACTATTTAGTTATGGAATATGGATAGACATTTATTTATATATTTATATATTAATTTATTTATTTATTTGCATAAATTTAAAAATAGTTCGTGTGCCAAGAGAGATACGTTGTTCCAAACAGATGTATTGCACCTAGTGGAAACTGTTGAGGAGGTCCATATCTTCGTATCAGGATTCGGTTAATTGATTGGTTTAAATTAGTACTTTGGATATATTTATACAAAACAAAACAAATGTTTGTATAGTGAAACCTGTCGAATTCTGCTGGGCCCAATGCTTTTGAGTAGCAGAGTAGTTTTTCTTGTTTTTAGATTCCTCTGGTTAACATAGAAGGCTTGCTCCACACATGTTCCTGTATAACTCTTGTTCGATTTAGGCAGGTTACTCTGTATATGTTTTGAAACATTGATTATATCATATATAATCTGTACTGAAATTATTAATTTGTGAAAATACACTTTATGAAAATTTACATTTATTTTCAATCTCCCCATGCTTTAGATTTGCTGGGCCCAGATATTGAGAGATAGCTTTACTCATAACTTTCCTCTGTTACACAATAAAAGCGTTTAAATTAAAAACTTAACAAAATTGAAACTTCCCCATAAATAAGATTACAAAATGCTATGACATTGAACAACTTGCACCTGGACCTACATTTATTTTCAGACAACGGAAATATTCTAAAACAAATAGTCAGTGGTATACTGATAAAAATATGAACATTGCTCTGTAGTTAATTCGTAAAGAACAAATTTTGAATCGTATGTTTTCCATAAATATGTACCGTTTCATCGTATTTTAATATGATTATTATGTTGTATTATGTAAATGATATCCTCGAATTTTATTATTGTTAATGATAACGTGTCCCACTTAATATGTAATGTGTTATTATGCATAAGTATACCTCTGTAATAGATAACTATTAAATTGCACAATTATGTTTGTAATTTCACCTACTGATGCTAGTCCAATAAATTATATATGACACATATATTAACCTTTCGTTGTAGTTATTCTTAGTGCAGTTAGTGTAAACAGTAACAGGTCATCGCTCCAAAGAATGAAACAAGTCACATCGAAAGTATCATTGATTACTGATAAACAAGACAAAATGATTACATTCTCATTGAGCAACCAGAATATTAAACAAATGATATCAAATTAGCAATAATGAGTTAGATTGGTGCTGATCAACATTCCTGCTTTTGAATAGAATCCGTATCATTGGCTTAATAACTATTCTGTATTAAAATAAGCATATTTACACCTGCTACTGTTTTTAAAGCCAAAAAGTCAATTATTTGTCAAAAGTCCATACCCCATCAAGTTTGAATAACTATATCATTGTCTGAGGTATTTATTGTTAACAAATATAAGAATGTTAATTTGATGGAAATTAACTCATTATTTGTTTTTCAAAACAAACAATGCATCTCCACCACAATTCGGCATTGTTTACACTTCGTGGGGGATATTGGTTTGTGATAACAACCATAAGTTGACACACATTGTGTTACGATATCATATGGGATGAATATAATTCATATAAACACAGATACCTTTCATCAAATAGTTTCAGCTAAATCAGAAACTGTACAACTATGCTTCAATAACTCTCAACCAGAGACAATGATTGTGCATTTTAAAAATTATCCAGCTATTTATTTGTATATATAACAATAACAGATTGTCATAATTTATTATTCTAAAAACTAGAACTATCTCCCCCTATGTGGTCTGTTCTATGCGGGAGAAGACTTGTGCGGTATATAATTGACGTCCGTAGATGTATGTACTGTCCAACGACTATTCGAAAGGCAGTGAAACACTTGACTTTATTAATAGAAAATCCGTACATTAATATCCAGCCCAATCGACCAACATGATGTACAGCATGGCCAGCTTTCGAGATATTGCAACCGATACATATTTATCCATGTACAAATAATACATACATTTATGAATTAAAAAATGACATGGCTATAAGTGAAATATTTGACCAAAAATATTCAGATATCATCGAATATTAGCAGTGAAAACGAAATATTGAATTAAAATTACCCAGATCCCATATCAAAGCACTACACTTTACGCCTCTTGCCCTCCGACGTTGGAGTTAAAAGAATGTTTACCTTGGTCTGTTTGAGGAAGATAAACTTGAATAAACCAGAGCGAGAACTGTATTGATTGGCAAACATGTATTCCACACAGTCATTGTTTATATCGTAATAATATCTCTATCTTATAACCAGCCTGCTTTATATAACTTCAAAGTCACGTTAACAGACGACTTTTTTTTATAACCATATGATAATTTTATAGAGTAGCGTTACATCTTTGATAAGGTGAATATGAGCCTTTGGCAAGGGTGCTACCAATACAAAAACGGCTTCATCAAGAATCGTCGCATCCAATATAGAAATGCAACATTACAACAAATCATTTCTTATTTATCAATTTTATGCCAGTATGTTAAAAGAAATAATCGGTAACAGAATACGGTATGATAACTGTTCAATTCTTCAAGGTCTTCCATATGTTAGGGTTTCGCTTCTATGGTCAATCATATAAAAACTGAAGCTGAAATTTTCCCCATATTCCTTTTGAGAATAATAAAGCTGCTATCAAAATATTTCTGAAATTCCTATTATGACAAAAATGTGTATGTGTATCAAATTTATGCAATATGGCACTATTCAGATTATATGTGTTTTCATTGGCTTCGTGCAGTCCTTGTTACAAATATACCATATCTATTAGTATAACAGTATAGTCTCAAAGCAACACCAAATGTTAAAGAATGCACGCTGAAAAATAATGAAAAAAATTGAAATCATAAACAGATTTAATAGTTTGAATGAGAACCGAAGGAACAAGAAAGTAAGAGACATAGAGTCTTGATACGATTCCTCCAATACAACGTGATAATTGATACAATTAGACAGACATAAATTACATAATTACATTGTACCATACAGCATTGATACAATTATACATACATAAATTACATTGTACCATATAGCATTGACACAATTAGACATACATAACTTACATTGTACCATATAGCATTGATACAATTAGACATACATAAAATACATTGTACCATACAGCATTGATACCATTTGACATACATAAATTACATAAATTACATTGTACCATACAGCATTGATACAATTAGACATACATAAATTACATTGTACCATACAGCATTGATACCATTTGACATACATCAATTACATTGTACCAAATAGCATTGATACAATTAGACATACATAAATTACATTGTACCATATAGCATTGATACAATTAGACATACATAAACAAAATTGTACCATACAGAATTGATACAATTAGACATACATAAATTACATTGTACCATACAGCATTGATACAATTTGACAGACATAAATTACAATGTACCATACAGCATTGATACAATTTTACAGACATAAATTACATTGTACCATACAGCATTGATACAATTTGAAATACATAAATTACATTGTACCATACAGCATTGATACAATTAGACATACATAAAATACATTGTACCATACAGCATTGATACAAATAGACATACATAAATTACAATGTACCATACAGCATTGATACAAGTTGACAGACATAAATTACAATGTACCATACAGCATTGATATAATTAGACATACATAAATTACAATGTACCATACAGCATTGATACAAGTTGACAGACATAAATTACATTGTACCATACAGCATTGATACAAATAGACATACATAAATTACAATGTACCATACAGCATTGATACAAGTTGACAGACATAAATTACAATGGACCATACAGCATTGAAACAATTTGACAGACATAAATTACAATGTTCCATACAGCATTGATACAATTAGACATACATAAAATACATTGTCCCATACAGCATTGATACAAATAGACATACATAAATTACAATGTACCATACAGCATTGATATAATTAGACATACATAAATTACAATGTACCATACAGCATTGATACAATTTTACAGACATAAATTACATTGTACCATACAGCATTGATACAAATAGACATACATAAATTACAATGTACCATACAGCATTGATACAAGTTGACAGACATAAATTACAATGTACCATACAGCATTGATACAATTTGACAGACATAAATTACAATGTTCCATACAGCATTGATACAATTAGACATACATAAATTACAATGTACCATATAGCATTGATACAAGTTGACAGACATAAATTACATTGTACCATACAGCATTGATACAATTAGACATACATAAAATACATTGTACCATACAGCATTGATACAAATAGACATACATAAATTACAATGTACCATACAGCATTGATACAATTTGACATACATAAATTACAATGTACCATACAGCATTGATACAATTAGACATACATAAATTACAATGTACCATACAGCCCTTTCGTCCTTTTAGGAGTCATCGGTAACGCTGGGAGCTAATAAGGTGAGGTCATAATTAGTCTAAACTTCTGTCAAAACATGAAAAGAAGAAGGGTCAACACACTCGCATTTAACAATACGTTGACAGAAGAAGAAACTAGATAACGATACATTGTGCTAGACTGGAATATCTGAATCATTGTGCTATAATAAACACTGTATGTGAGAACCACGCTGAGTTCACGGTAATGCATCGTGATCAAATAAAATTGGCAAATACTCCTATTTTATACCAAACATGTTATGACTGAATACATTCAGATAACTGCGACCTTGTATTTTTAATCAGCATATTTGTCACAAATGTTCCTTTACAAATTTTATACACATCCCCTACACAGATCACGGAATATACAAAACAATTATCTAAGGGGACACTACGACATAAAATAGAATCAAACGAGTAACAATACAATTTATTAATGTTCAGTGGGTGTATATTAAAATACAAACATGTTTTTGTAAAAATAGTATCCTCTTCGTTTGGTCATGACTTTGAGACTAATTGTATGATCTTATAATATAATAAACAGTGAACAGTTTGGTAACGACATTTCTTTTACTTCCTTAAAAAGAGAATAAAAAACAGAAATAATTTGCTCTTGTCAGGATAATGCAGTTTATTATTTTTTTTCATATTATTCCCGACAAGTGCATCACTTGTCCACCGATAAAAAAACCGATATTGACTTGGAGCGCGTGATTTTTGTTACACATGCAGTGGAGTACAGCAGGTTTATTCTTAATTTCTTTGATGTCCTCTAATCAGAAGACAAGGAAGTAAGTAATGTCACGTCCTCCCATCGAGAACTCGGGTTGTGATAACAAAACCACAAAGCACTCTCGTGAGCATAATACAATAATACTGATAGCCTTCATATCACACAAAGAACGTAAACCTAATCAAATGGATACCATAATTAGACTGAACGCTCAGGATTTTGATATTGTATGTAAGAACATGTTCTGTTCTTATATCACTTACATCACACTGAAGAGTTGAATGAAAAATATCAAAAAATTCAACATACAGATAAACTATCCTTGTTCTATACACCGTAATGTCAAAGATGTTTTTATTTTTGCTGATAAACAAAATCACCTGGTATGACAAGGAGAATATCCAATATCATAGTGACAATTTATTACCAGTATTTGATATGACCAATGACCCTGCAAAATACTCCTGCATAGAATAGTGTCAAAGTTTCATTATACTTGTAATCCGTGCCAAGTAGACAACTTACAAGCGCACTTGGGTGGTTAATACAGTATTATAATAACATTGTCTTATCATGAGAATATGTAGCAGTGTGGTAGTATATCGTTATACTGATACAAAAGTGTTAAATAGATCAAGCTGACGTTGATCCAGATACCCGAGGCCACTGACAATGATACAAGCGTGTCACTGATAAACCTAAAGCCTTTGTATTCAATGTGCATATTAAATGTAATGGTATACGCGTGTTACACTTGCAAAACTGTGTAAATAAAA